GCTTATCAGATACTATACGATTGATTGGCCCTCCTGTTAAGCATCTCCAGACATATTTGTTATGTCCACTAAATATTCCCATGATGCACCCCAATCAAGAGTGCACACAGTTCATGTGCATTTCTTCATCTCCCAAACGGGGTATGTGCTTCACATCTTTGTGCTTACTGCATTAGACCTGATCACCCAAAATCTCCTAACATTTCAACCAAGATAAGAAATAACTGATAATTATGTCATCTTTAAATATTAACTATTTTGATGTCATATTTTTAAAATCCATTAAGTTTTTATACCCAATGCAACATTATACATGGGACTTTACATAATGTGATGATGCTTGGATCAAGTAAAAGGAACTGGATTAAATTACTCGCAATGTTAGGTTTAAAAAATAACTTGCAATGTTAGGATTAAATTGCTCACAATGTTGGAAAAAACATGCAGTGTATATGCTACAGTTGGAATTAGATCACTGGGTTTCTTTCTCTTATTAAAGCTTTGTCAACTGGGTCACGTTATATTTTTTAGTTTCTGACAACCTTTTATTTCAATCGGTAAAATGTTCCATCCTAATGGCAATGACCTTTACAGGGGTGGAATAAACAGTCGTAATTACTGGCATCCCAATCTGCCTGGGAAAATGTGCGGAGTCAGACTGTACACAAATACAGAGCTCCCAGCATGCAACACAACACACAAACTCTTCACTTACACTTTTTAAGTGTCATCTTTTCTCATGCTAATACTACCAAGGCAATAGGTATCGTAAACACTGACACAGTGGATATTTCAGGAATGGTGGGCACATGGCCAAGTGGATAATGTGTTCGCCCAACACTAGGAAGAAATGATAATCATAGTACCAAGTGTCCATCAAACATGTCATTTTACTAGATCCCACATTTCTCTCATGCCCATGAATAATTCTCAATCACCAAGTTGGAATTGATACCTGGAATCAAGTGATGAAATTGTAAAGTTTTATATTTCAATTTGAGAATTTGAAATTTCACAAGGGCACATGCTGAACCTTCTCGTCGTGTGAGCCTGTTTTCCAGACCACATCAATACATCTACTACTTCATCCAAGGTCACAATACAGTCCGGTACACAAAGGAAACATTTCCACCAATCTCAGTCCAAAAGTTGAGAAATTCCATCAAGAAAAGCAATCAAAACTTACTCGGTAATTGACAGGGCAAGTTCATAGGAGCAGCTTTGTAATAAAATTGATTTTTGGCCAAATGCCACCTTAGCATAGAAATTGAACACAAAATAATTCACACACAGCCTAAATACTAAATTACCCTTGTGTATTAAAGCCCATACTGTACATGCTCTAAAAATCAATAATTCAATACAATAATAACAACACAACAATTTCAATACAATTTAATCCTCCAAAACAGTAACACAACTGGATGTGTTCATAAAAATTGTGCTGACTCAGCAATACTATCATTTCACATGTTGTTTCACTCACTGAAATGTTTGGATAAGTCAGGAGGTCAGGGTTTGAAATAAGAACAAATTTCACTTCTGAAACATATTTTCATGAAAGTGATCCCTTAACAGCAAAAAACCCAGATAGTTAACACGTTTCTGATATTGTCCAATTTTTTCCTCATTGGTCTCCTCTAAATTATTTCATGACTATGGTAATACTGACTCCATCGAAAAAGATATACACTCCTTCAAAAACATATTATTCAACAATAATGTAAAGGTTTGTTGGCAGATAACCAGTATACTCAGACTTGAAATATTCTTCTTCAGCACTTCGCCAACTTCTATTAATATGAAATAAGAAATGGACTCTAGCATGTTCTGAAGGCAAAATAGTGCCATAAAAATAAAGCAATAAAAGCAGTATTTAAAAACCTGACACTGGCATGAACCTTTCAGATGAATCCCTGGCCTTATCAGAACCTGAGGTGATAACATCATTAGAGGTGGTGCTAGTCACATGATATGTTTACACAGTAACTGATGGTCACATTACACATAGATTCACTATCAAGATATACATGTTGTAGGACATCCCATACCTCTCACAGACACATCCAGTGTATTGTGTGTCTGTGAGTCCCATCAGCCCTTGGAACCCTCCCTTAGACAGTGAAATGTAACACAGCAGGGACCATCTCAAACAATAAACAATCATTAAATACCACTCATATATTCATCTGAATCTTTGGAGGTAAGTGAAACTACACTTCAGCTTGCACTGTAAAGAGTTATGCCCCTTGAGATTCACAGGATCCAGGTTGACCCTGATCATGATGCTTGGTTTGTTTGTACCATGACCTGTGCTCCTGACGTCCAACTCAGCTTCTGTGTAACTTCCAGCATAAACTCACACATCCATGAAAATCTTTCATCATGAAACTAGCAAATGAAAACATTCTTCAATCAACAGAATGTCACAAAATCAATTCTATCACCATTAGCTACATCCACTTCAGTTAAATATCATACAGCTTGAAGAGTGAGTGAGGGAGTGCTGTCTGGTCCATAACAACCTATTCTCACACTGCTTATAGGGGACTTCTCTAAACCTCAAAGGAGCTATTGTTCTAAACCTGGGACCTCTTCTAGTCCATGTCAATGACATATTCTCATCCTGGGTGCCAGTGTACAAAGCAACTTAGTGCTACGCCAGTCGTAAGTCCTTAGCGCTAAGATTGCTTTGTACAAGAGCACCCAGGTCCATAGAATGATCTATTGTTCTGAGTTGAGTTGAGACGAGTTGGGCTTTACGTCACATCGGCATTATTCCAGCCGTTTAGTGACGAGGTCATGTCTGAATTCATAAAAATTATAAGTACAATGTCCAAATGAGTTTTATTTTGAAAACATATATATTCATTGCATCATTATTTAAAAACAGAAAATGTCCTATTGTTCTAAACCTGGTTCTCACAGGGATGTCTTCTAGTCAATGATAATTCTCATCCTGGTCCACACTGGGACATAATACTGAGAGTCTTCAGTTTCAAACATACATGATGACTCAACTTCAAACAGGATGATATTATCTGATAAGACATTTGTCTTCCTGACTCATTGTGTCTGTTTGAGAAATGTTCCGCTCCGATGTGACACAACTCGTATCACAACATCCACAGCTGTCTTCAGAATATACATGTAATGAAACTGATCCCAACAGTCTACTGAGCAAACATAACAACCAAAATACCTATATCTAAAACATCCTAATGAGTTCTTAAGAATTCACAAAACAAACTTTATCATTTACAAGTTACTTAAACTGACGGTTTGATCCAGATAAGTCTCCATAATGTTCAAGCCATTAGTAAGATATGGAATTTGTACAGTAATATTGTTGGACATCTCAGAGCTTGATGGCACTAGCTCCTATCTCCAGCCACATCTGGTTGCATGTTGGTCTGAATATGGAAACAGGCCATCCCGAATATTCCTGTGTATTCTCATGATGACTATCTGGTGTCACAGTGGCAGAATGGCACTCTACAGGCAACATGCAGACTACATTACAGTCATCTGTCTACTCATTCAAGGTCCTGTTATTTTCTTTAACAGTCTATTTTCAACCTAAAGAGTATTTTCTTTTAATAACAGGCATGTGATATTGAGATTAATAGAATTCCACTTTCTTGTATAAAATGTATATGGGGTTGAAATCCAGTACACTATAATGCTTCACAACCTGATTATATACTATGAAGACTTATCAAACCATACGTAGTCTTTTTCAAGTTTCTCAAGGGTAATTTACAACGATTATTCAATAATACCCTTAAATGTTAGCAATCTCAAGCACGTGGGTAATCCTGAACATGTGCCAATGAAATGCCTTCCGTCAGTCTAAACTAGTAATGAGTTAGGTGGAGACTCTCGTACAGATGCTGAAACAAAACACAACCCCCCAACAATGAAATTTACATTTAAGTTTCTAAATTCCCAAGTTCTGAAAATTAAAAGATTCTTTGGACTCATATTAATTTTTGTTGTTGCAAAAATACAATATTCTCACTTCAGAGACGAAACAACTGTACATGTTCAACTCAAAAGAAGTAAAAAATCACTCGATGTTTTCAGGCCATGACACAATAAATAATAATGAAATAACGTGAAACAGCTGTTGGGAAAGCATGCTTTCTGTAGCATCTTTTGAGCAGTATATAAGGAATGGGAAGGAACAGTTCCTCTAAGAAATCAGTGACATACAAGGGAAGTCACATCACATGGTGAAACATTGAGACAAATCTGAAACATTTTCCCAGGACCACATGGTAAAGGCAGGAAGCTACCAAATGGACTATGGGATCTGTTGAGACACCTGTTGAGACATCTGTTGAGACATCGTTCCAGGTAACCAATGGCAAGCTGCTGTACACAGGTGCATGGAGGTGTCAACTTACCTTTCAGGGGTGGAAATAACTTTAAAATTGCTAGTGTACTCCGGTACAGTGGCACATGTAAAATCACTTGCCCTGATAATTTTTCCTCTATACCGGCCATTTTCTTGTTGATTTTTTAAATAAACAACATAATTAACATTGGAATATCAACTGGACACCAGTACAGTGTGGTATACAAATTTGCTTGCCAGACAGAAAAAAAAACTGGACTCGGGCGTTGGGCAATGGGTTTTTTCCACCCCTGCCTTTGTGTAAGATGAAATACAATACTGATACCTAATGGTACAGACACGGATGTAGCACTCTTGCCTTTTCAAACAGTGTTAAAAGATAAACATTTTCACACAGACCCTAATGTGCCAAATGAATTGAGCAGCTCTGTGGCTTCATTATAATCCTGTTGCAATCAGGGTTTTCTTGTTGCTCGTTTCGTTCTAATAACTTTTCCTCAGGTAAATCAAGGACTGTCAGATCAAGGCGACATGTCAGTCACAATCTCCGCACCATGTGGCCAACATACACAAAACACAAAAAGCATTATGGGTAAATTATTGTACTTACTGAAAATCTTGCGAAAGAAGTGACCCCTTCCTGGTTCAAAGTCCAAACTTCGACTTAGATCTGAAAATGAACAGATTCCATTTAGTTGATTTTTCGTAAGACATTAACAACATGTTGGATATGGTTCTGACAAGACAAAACTTAAAGTCCAGGGCTATGGACCTATTCTAACCTGGTTCCACAAAGAGCGACAAATAACAGGGTGCTATGGACCTATTCTACCCTGGTTCCACAAGGGTGACAAACAATAGGGTGCTATGGACCTATTCTACCCTGGTTCCACAAGGGTGACAAACAATAGGGTGCTATGGACCTATTCTAACCTGGTTCCACACAGTGTGACAAACAATAGTGTGCTATGGCCCTATTCTAACCTGGTTCTACAAGGGTGACAAACAATAGGGTGCTATGGACCTATTCTACCCTGGTTCCACAAGGGTGACAAACAATAGTGTGCTATGGACCTATTCTAACCTGGTTCTACAAGGGTGACAAACAATAGGGTGCTATGGACCTATTCTACCCTGGTTCCACAAGGGCGACAAACAATAGTGTGCTATGGACCTATTCTAACCTGGTTCTACAAGGGTGACAAACAATAGTGTGCTATGGACCTATTCTACCCTGGTTCCACACAGGGTAACAAACAATAGTGTGCTATGGACCTATTCTAACCTGGTTCCACAAGGGTAACAAACAATAGGGTGCTATGGACCTATTATAACCTGATTCCACACAGTGCAACAAACAATAGTGTGCTTTGGACCTATTCTAACCTGGTTCTACAAGGGTGACAAACAATAGGGTGCTATGGACCTATTCTAACCTGGTTCCACACAGTGCGACAAACAATATTGTGCTATGGACCTATTCTAACCTGGTTCTACAAGGGTGACAAACAATAGTGTGCTATGGACCTATTCTACCCTGGTTCCACAAGGGTGACAAACAATAGGGTGCTATGGACCTATTCTAACCTGGTTCCACACAGGGCTGACAAACAATAGGGTGCTATGGACCTATTCTAACCTGGTTCCACAAGGGTGACAAACAATAGGGTGCTATGGACCTATTATAACCTGATTCCACACAGTGCAACAAACAATAGGGTGCTATGGACCTATTCTACCCTGGTTCCACAAGGGTGACAAACAATAGGGTGCTATGGACCTATTCTAACCTGGTTCCACACAGTTTGACAAACAATAGTGTGCTATGGCCCTATTCTAACCTGGTTCTACAAGGGTAACAAACAATAGTGTGCTATGGACCTATTCTATCCTGGTTCCACACAGGGTGACAAACAATAGGGTGCTATGGACCTATTCTAACCTGGTTCCACAAGGGTGACAAACAATAGGGTGCTATGGACCTATTCTAACCTGGTTCCACAAGGGTGACAAACAATAGGGTGCTATGGACCTATTCTAACCTGATTCCACACAGGGCGACAAACAATAGGGTGCTATGGACCTATTCTAACCTGGTTCCACAAGGATGACAAACAATAGGGTGCTATGGACCTATTCTAACCTGGTTCCACAAGGGTGACAAACAATAGGGTGCTATGGACCTATTCTAACCTGGTTCCACAAGGGTGACAAACAATAGGGTGCTATGGACCTATTCTAACCTGGTTCCACAAGGGTGACAAACAATAGGGTGCTATGGACCTATTCTAACCTGGTTCCACACAGGGCGACAAACAACAGGGTGCTACGGACCTATTCTAACCTGGTTCCACACGGGGCCACAAACAGGGTGCTATATGGACCTAAATAAGTTTTCAAATACCAATGTTTTTTCCCTGGCACCCACGGACATCGGTCATTCTGATAGAGAAAGTCAACATGATGGCCACAAGCTTGATTAACTCTTTCAACACCAGTCAACCAGAGGCATTTACTGCCATGACACCGAGTTCCCAGAGACTCTGAGGTCATAGATGAAGCCTATGTTTATGAAGGAAATTATAAGCTTGTAAAACTTTATTGCTGCTACATCCCATACACCATTTAAAAGATCGAATCCTACTGTTGATAAATATGAAGTTTATTTTTATAATATTATTCAACTAATACAACTACAACTTAAATAAATTTATATTTGAATGAAAATGCAAGCTTACATGTATAACGTCCAGATAAACCACGAAAGAAGCAAAAACTATGGCGATTTTTTCCATTTGTGACATCTCATAACATGCCCGTGCCTTTTTCTTTTATATTTTCATTTTTACGTAATCAGAAAATTATTATAAAAAGATTTCTTAAACAATATGTATGGTCGCCTATTTCCCGATATCTGTGGCTTTCCGCTCGGTAAAATGACATAACAACTGAAAATACCTCCGCTTTCAAGCTTCAGATGAATAACATGCGCGTGCAAATCGCTTTGATGTCGGGCATCGCTCGAAAGCTCTGAACATCAACAATATCACTGTACCCTTGCCAAGAGTATTTTCACAGTTGTAAGAAGCTTATTTTATTGGATAAAGATTGGTTTCCAATGACGCTTTTCGCCACAGTCTGCTATAAGGGTCGTGGATTGGTCAAAATCAGACACGTGACCTAAGGTAGCCAATCATATTACAGCAATGGATACCGTCCTCGTAAACGAAAACTTTTAGATTTGGACAAAAGTTTTGGGTAAAATAATGCTATTCTGAACATATTGAGCAAGAAATCGCTACCTATACGTAGAATTATGGAACGTATTGGACGATCGCGTGCTAGGTTATGACCTGTGACAAAAATGCTTCATGTATGTATTTTTGCATTAAACATCGTGGTCCGGTAATGTGAAGATCGAGTAATGGCGAGAGCGAGATGTCACTTGTCAGTGACTTGACTTGCATTACATGATCGCACAAAAAGATGGAAATTGTAATTTTATATGCACGCTTGACAACTTTTATGAATGCTGTTGTTGATTTTATTCATTAGTTTATTCAATTTATTTAATAATTTCCTCGAAACATCGTTACTTTGCTCTTTGACAATGTTATTGTGGGTCCGCAGCCGAAGCATGTGTCCGAGAATCGTTGTTTTCAATAACATTGCGAAAAATAGTTTATAATTTTAATTCTGCTGGTAATATATGATAAATTGAAATTTAATAAGTGTTTTCAGAAATTGTGAAATGGGATAGATTTGATATATGAATCAAAAGTCAGGTAGGTTCCTAAAATTATGTCTCATTTTGACGTGACTACTGCCTGGCCGATTAATCGGCCTCCGGTGTCTGGGGACTCATAACGTTGTGGCCGATTATTCGGCCTGCGGTGTTGAATGGGTTAAATAATCATGTACACATTGATAAAAGTGTTATTACTTTGTACTTTGCTTCCAAACAACATTTAAAAAAAAGAGAAGAAAAATCCTACCTACCGGTACCTACCCTAAATTTTAAAGAGCTGTAACTGTTTTTGATTTGGCCTAATCAACAACAGGTTATTATGGATGTCAACAGATTCAACACTTCACATACAGAAATGATTGTGACCAAGTACCTTTCCAAGCAAGTCACTAAAACCTTCACTAGAATCATTAAGTTGACACTGGATATTCATCTGGTATAATACAGTATCGCCAAGTCCATATCCTCAGGGACTTCCCTGCTGTGACTTCCTGTCATGTTTACCTCAAAATACTCAAATGAACCCTCTTCTCCCCAACCCCACATTGATTATTAATGAAGTGGAAAAATGAAGGTCACAAAACCACTCATTCGTAGCACCACTTCAAAGATCTGTTAGGAAACCTCTACTTTCAGCAAATCACCAATAAAATTTCTTTTCAAGAGATAATGTTTTGCAGGCCCTAAATCTCCAAATTGAAAGTCTGTGGCAGGAGCAAAGTCGCGCTTGTGTGACTCTGAAGAGGGTAGATTAATATGTGGCGGCCAACAAGGACATGTGTCTAAAGACGCCTCATAGTCTCATACTGAACAATAGGAATGTTTGTAACACCTGTAAACAGATTTCCATGGCTGAATACTTTGATGTTGAAATGTCAACATACCTGTCAAGACATGAGAATCACCTGAGGCCAATGATCTACAAACCGTTTGTTATCAATAACAATAAACATCCAGATATCAAAGTTACCTGTCGTTTTTTAAAAGGGCTATGTTGAAATGTGATTTGATTATTCATTAATGAGAAAAGAACAGAGATGTCATGACAACTCCTTGAGAATTATGTTTTATATCCTTGTTTGTCTTCCGACACACACAACTGGAATATGATGACATGTGTCAACCATGTTAGCAAGCCTGACCACCCGATCATGTTAGTCGCCTCTTACAACAAGCATGAGTTGCTGAAGATCAATTGTAATACAGTTCTTCACGGGTTATATTGTGAGAGTGAGTGAGTGGGGGTGGGTGAGTGAGTGAGAGATTGAGAGAGTGAGAGTGAGTGAGTGTTGCCAGGGATTTATTTAGATCTCAAGGCTAGGTATCAGGCTAACTTTGCTGCAATGTCAATAAATAATTCCAGATGGGAACAAAAATTTCCCACACCATGTCAATATATAAAACTGAAATGATTGCTTTGTTGAGCTGTCTTCGATTTTAGAGATATTAGGACCAAAAAGGAACATTCAATGCTTCATGTTACCTGATGCATAGAATGCACGGTTACAATGTAATGTTACAACACAATGTGATAATGCCTTGAAATAATATATCAATAACAAAAGAATACTGCTACCTAACTATATTTTCCCAATTTGATTGCCAAGTGCACTTAGTTTTAAAAAAAATCATATTCATGTGTACATGTCATTCAATCCAAACTCTGCAGAATGTTGCTCATGATGTGAATCATAGGATTGTCTGGTTGGAACAAAGACTAGAACCCTTTCATCAACCCTATCTCCTATCTGATGTAAATCACTGGATTGTCTGGTCTAAACAAAGTCTGGGATCCACATTACACCGGCCTATCACCTGACTGATGTAAATCACTGGATTGTCTGGTCTAAACAAAGTCTGAGATTCACATTACACCGGCCTATCTCCTATCTGATGTAAATCACTGGATTGTCTGGTCTAAA